AATATTTTAATTATTTGCTTGCATATAATTCACCATATTTCCTTCAGGGAGCCTATGATCCTGGCCTTTTTCCGTTCATTTCTCTTTGCCTTTCCTTTGTGAGTTTATCTATTCATTCCTTGTTATATCCACTTGTCAACAGATGTTTATTTTGTATAAACATCACAAGGTTGGACACTGCCAGGTATCTGGGTGTATATTTGTCAGAGTTTGTCGACCTCAGCACTATTAACGTTTCAAGTTAGCCAATGCTTTGTCACTGGGGGTTGTCCTGTACATTGTAGGGTGTTTAGGAGTATTTAAACTGATCAGTAGGTGCCAGTAATATCACCCTCCCCTCTAGTTATGACAAATATATCTCCAGGCATTACCAAGTGTCTCCTGGGGGGCAGTGCAGGGAAACCCCTCCCCCCCATACACATACAACAGTTGAGAACCACTGATATATATGAATAGTAATCCCTCCATTCAAAGGTATTATTGTGTTATTTTTAACCAGTTGGTAGTATTGGCTAACAAGTGTTTGTTGAGTTATTGAAATAAATGGTCTCTAGCTAGTTTTTTAAAATTTATATACTTTATATTTCAGTATAGTTTTAGATTTAGAGAAAAAATGAGCAGAGAATACAGAAGTCCCATATTCCCCCTGAATCTAATTCAGAATAATCCCTGTTGTTAGCATTATATATTACTGTGGTATACTTGTTACAACTAATGGATCATATTAATGAATTATTAATAAATTGTCACTAACTGAAGTTCTTAGTTTATATTAAGTTTCACTCTGTGTGTAACAGTTTCATGGGCATTTTTACAAATGCATATTATCATATATGCACCATCATTACAGTATCATGCATAGTAGTTTTCATTACTCCAAAATTCTTGTTCATCATCAGTCTATCTTTCCCCCAAACCTTAGAAACCACTGATCTTTCTACTATCTCCAAAGCACTGCCATTTCCAGAATGTCATATAGTTGGAATCATTTCATTTGTGGCCTTTACAGATTGACTCCTTTCACTTAGCCATGTGCATTTAAAGTTTCTTGGTGTGTTTTGAGGGTTGCTATTTCTTTTTATCACTGAATAATAGTTGACTATATGGGTGTACCATAATTTGTTTATCCATTCACCTGTTGAACGAATTTGATTGTGATAAGTTTTGGACAGTTATGAATTAAAATTACTGTACACATTTGGGCACAGGCTTTCAACTCAATTGGGGTGAGGTGTGAGAGAGGGGGATTATATGATAAGATTATGGTTAGTTTTTATAAAAAACTGCAAAGTGTCTTCTAAGGTGGCTGTATTGTTTTGCATTCCCACCAGCAAGGAATGAGAATTCCTGTTGCTCTGTATCCGTACCAGCATTTATATTTTAAGGAGAATTATTATTTTTATTATCTAAAAATATTGAATCTAGAGCTTTTGAAAATCTTTATTCATTCTATTTTAGAAAATACCTCCCTGCCATTTCTCTGGGTTTTGAACTTAGGGACACTTTTCTACTGAGCAATATCCCCAGTCCTTTTATTTTTTATTTTGAGGCCTTGCTAAGGCACTGACAATGGCCTTGAACTTGTAATCCTCATACCTTAGCCTCACAAGTCTCTGGGATTACAAGTGTGCAACATTATGCCCAGTTTAAAAAACAAAACAAAAACAAACAAACAAAAAACCTCTTAGAACTGCTTTTTAGTTTTCTTTAAAGTTGGTTTTCTTGTGTGTTCTACAAATAATCTTTACAAATGTGATTTTACTATTTTCTTTCCAGTATCAGAACTTTTTCTAATCCTAATGTGTTGTCAAATATAATCAACAATAACGAGTTGAGTCGTGATTGTGATCTTATTATTTTGTTTTGATTTTAGTTTTTTAAAAATTTTAATAGAAGTTCTTCTAATGTTTTACCTTTGATACATATATGCTTACTATTGGTTTATGATAGTTAATCTAGATTGTTATACATGATTTTTCCTTGATTGCTCAAGTATATCCTCAATATTTTATTTAATGCTTTTGGGTTTGTTTGAAAAATAATCGCATGGCCTTTATCTTACAGTCTGTTAACACATAGATTTCTTAACATAATTCCCTAATATTGAACATTGTCGAATTTATTTATATATGATGTTGCTCTGTAGTCTTCTTGGCTGCTGCTGTTCAGTTAAGGTTTTGAAAGAATTATATTACCTTTATAGAATGTTGGAAAGCTCCCCTTTTCTTCTTCTTTTTCTCTCCTCTTTTAACATTTTAAATAACATGGAAATCATCTATTCATTAAAGGCTTATAGAATTTTCTCAAAAACTTCTCTGAGCCTAGTGCCATTAAGGTAAATGGTGTTAGTTCTTTTGTCACCTTTTCCATTTCTACCTTGATTGGTCTTCTTAAATTTTTCTTTTTTTAAAAAAACTTGGCAAGCTATATTTCATGATTTCTCCAACTTTGCTGATTCAGAAAGTCATCCGATGCATTTGTTTAAAATATAGACTCCCAGGACCTTTTCTACAGCTTTCCCCTAGAGTTTTTTTTAAGTCTAGGGTGGGAACTGAGATACAATTTTTTCAGTAAGATCCCAGTTGATTCCTATCAGGTGGTTTAGGAAGTTCTGGTCTGTTTTGTCAGTTTTTGATTCATTTCTTTTGACCAGTTTGTTTCTCCCCTGGCTCTGTAATTGAATTGTAAGATTATTTATTACCATTCTTTCTTATATTCTTGGGTACTTCTTTGACCATGTCCAATAACATTTGACATAGATGTTTGTCATTAATTCCTCTAAAGTTTGTGATTTCATTTTCATATTCTTTTAACTTAATAATTATTTTTTAATCCTCTAAGCAAATTGAAGTAAACTATATATAGTTATACATATTATACAAATATTTGTGATTGCTTTTTTAACTCAAATTTAGATCAAGTATATTGATTTAGGTTATTAGATCTTTCATATTATTAATGTTTCTTCTAATGCACTGTTTGTTATCTGCATAGTTTTGAGACAGGTATGTTTAGTTTTGCCTTTGTGATTTGTCTTTAATTTATTAATTCAGTAAATATTTATTGCTTACATATGTCAGGCATTTTTTTTAGCTATTGGGAATACAAAATGAACAAGTATGACAAAGCCTTTTCACTCCAAACTTAATGAGAAATAATAAAAACAAATAATTTCAAAACATGAGAAAAAAGAATCATATGCAGTCTGGAGTGAGTGGGCATGTGCATCATTAATTAAGGTGTTCAAGGACTGCCTTGCTAAAGGTTAAGTGAGCATGGACTTTGAACCATGAGAAGAAACCTGTTATAAAGTATTCATAAGAAGTCAGGCATAGCTGTGGACTAGCTTTTGGTAAAAACTTTGCAGTATTTTCATATTTATTCTGCTTGCAATGGGAATCTTTTTTGGTACTGGAGATTGAACCAGGGGCACTTAACCACTGAGCCACATCCTTAGCCCTTATTTATTTTTTGTTTTGAGAAAGGGACTTGCTAAGTTGCTTAGGGCCTTGCATATTTGCTGAGTCTAGCCTTGAACTTGAGATCACCCTACATCAGCCTCCGTAGTTGTTGGGATTACAGGCTTGGGCCACTGTGCCTGGCTACAGTTGGAATCTGATGGCATGTTTGTTCAGGCAAACAAGGAGATCTGTTAAATGTTTTAAAAAGATTACTTCTGTTGGAAGAATGGACTGTAGTTGGAAAAGACAAGAGGTAGGCAAATAATTAGGAGGCTTTTATAATAGTGTAAGCAAGAAATTGTGATCTCGAGTGTATTGGTAAAGACGAAGAAGAATTGAGAGCACTTGTTCAATTACATATGGGAGAGAAGTTTTGCCTTGAGTGACTGGTAAAGTTTCCATTTAATTTTCTTCCTCTGTTTCTAACAATTTTTGTTTCATGTGCTATGTTGAAGTATGCACCAAGGTTTCTTCTTGGACAGAATTACATCTTTCCTTAAATATTCCTGTTTCCATTTAATGTTATTTTGCTTCAGAAAGATCACTGATAATCCTTTTTTTTTTAATTTTGTGGAAAATCGAAGGAAATATTGTTTTTAAGTAAACATCATAAAGCAGACCTGGGAACTAAGTCTTTCTCTGAATAGTGTCTTTGTGTTTTTCCATGATACCTTAACAGTGTTGGGTATGGAGTAGCTCTGTAGATATTTTCTCTCTCATATTTCACTGTTGTCTTCACTCCATTTCCCTAAGCCATTCTCTCCTCCATATTTGGTACAGCACTTGATTTATTCTGTTGTTTCACATTTGATTCCTTGAGTAATGTACTCTTCTTTTTTTCCACTATTAAGTCTTATTTTTTCTTTTAAAAACTACCTGAAGATTTATTTCACTTGCCTAATTACATCTTCCTATATCAATTCCATTAGAACTTTGAGGTGGACCACTCTGACAGGTTTTGTTCAGTAATCTATTTTCCTTGCAATTTTAATTGACTCACCTTTATATGATACATAGTTGAAAATGGATCATTAAACTTAAAATGAAACTTATGGAAATTACATCACCATTACTCACCAGTATACCAGTCTCAGTACAGGGTTATTTCTTCAGAAAGCAAATGGGTTCATGGATCTTTTTACAGTTTCCTATTGTACTATTTTAAGAATTAATACCATTATATATTCCCTATAGGCAAAAAGTGGTTTTTATGATAGCTACCATTTGTATACAAGAAAAGAGGTTGAAAGGGATCATTTTGAAGTTTTTATATAGCCCTTTTAGACTTTGTCTTTTAGAATAGATAATTTGGAGGGAATATTTATTATCCTAATGTTGGTTTCTCTTTCCTGAAGTTGATTATGTATACTTTTTAATTTGATTATTTATTATTTTTTTCTAAAATGAGAGCTTTGGAAAGTATAATCCTCTTTATTTTCATCAGTACCTGCTGTATTGCTTATTGCTCAGTCTGAATTATGTTCTGATACAGTGTAATTGATTGATTACGTAATTAGGTGCTTTGTCTTTACTTCCTAGATCATCTTATTAATTTTCCCTTCTCAGTTAATCGAGAATCATCCTCACCTGCACCAACTGATAATGCTTCTGCCATGGGTACTCAATTAGCATCTGAAGAAACCACCTTGACTTCAAATTACACTAGCAGTACCATTGAAGATCCTCCTGATCAAGAGATACAAGAGAGTATGGTTTCCTCAGAACACAGTGAATGTGTTCCTTCTGTCAGTACAGAATTGGGATCTGAAGCTAGGAGCATTTTAGACCCTGACTCCTCTAATTCTGGAAATAGTTCTGCTTTTGACAAATTAAGGCAGCCAGATGGGTGTGTGGAATCTGTACGGCAGCAGTCTGGAAATGCCAACACAGAATCTTTGCCATCAGGGTATGTTAAATTTTTTTTTTTTTTAGTTTGACTTCCATTTAAGTACTAACTTTTTGGTGATATGTGACTACTGAATATGTATATTAAATGTTTCTGTTGTTCAGTAATTTGAAATCCTAAGTTGGAATCTGATTTTTACTATTTATTTATGCCAAGCACAAGTACTTTCTGGAACTAAGAACAATTGCTCATCTAGTTAAAGTATACATGATATGAAGGGAAAAATAGAAAACTGATGTTAATTTGATTTGATTTTGACTTTTTCATGAAAGTGACCATAACACTGTAATAACCTCAGTGTTCTACTCTCCAGATGTCACACTTGAGAACAACTAGTCTTTTTTTTTCTTTTTTCCCTTAATATTGAGTGCTGGTGACAGTTACAGTTATGTAATCCCAACAACTGGCTCTATTACAAACTGATTTTCATTGAAGCTTAGTAATTCATAATCTCCTTTAAGTTTCCCTCTATAATTATTCAGTTCCCCATAATTTTCTTTAAGAGTATTCTGTATGTGTGTTCCATTTGGTGATCTCTTCTATATCAGTAGGTTGTTTTTTCTTCTTATTTGGTACTGATGATTGATTCCAAAGGTGCTCTACCACTGAGTTATACCCCTCCATCCCTTTTTAATTTTTATTTTGAGACCATGGTCTTGCTAAGTTTCTTAGAGCCTTGTTAACTTGTTGAGACTGGCCTTGAACTTGTATTCTTTCTGCCTAAAGCCTCCCAAGTCACTAGGATTACAGGCATGTGCCACAGTGCCTGGCTACTTAGGTGTTTTTTTTAATTTTTTCAGTCTTGGCTCTGATGACATTAATATTAGTCATTCATTATTTTTATATTCAAAAAGGTTATTTACAGGTCCAGATTTGAAAATGTGTACATATAATGTAGTTTGTGCTGTAACAAAAGTATAGACAGTGTTTTCAAAACATCTTATAGTGGACAGAATGTCAACTCATAGCTGTTTAAACTACCCTTCTAGAGGTCTCTAAGTACTTTAATGACCTCATTTTCTTATGTAATTATGCTCAGACTCCTTTCCTACTTTGGAACCATTTTTTCTTAGTGCTCTTTACTGGCATGTGTGATTTTTGCTCACTGTATGCGGTTTAAGCCTTTGTTGTTATTGTATGTGTGTGTGCATGCACATGCATGTAGAACTAGTACTCTCGTAGCACTTTATTCATAATGTCTAACTAGACCTTTCTCTGAGCTGATTTTCAGCTGCTTTCTGGAGATTCCTTCTTGTGTTTCTTGTAAGCACTTCTGACTATACATTATCTTCCATTTTTTTTCCCTCAAAAATCTCTTTTCTTATGTTTGTATCTTCTGTAGCTTTTTATCCTTATTTCTTGTGTGTATTGTGATGTAAATATAGAAGAAGTTCTTACTGTCAAAAATCAGTGACTGTACAGTTTATTTTAAAGCTATGCTAGAGGTACGTTTAGGATGCTCTGGGAAGGAGCATAGCAGAGTTGGGATAGGAAGAGTAACTGATGCTCTTGAGGCCAGTGAATACTTTCTGGAAGAGATGACCCCTTAGTGGATTTCTGAAAGAAGAGTAGGAGTTAAGCAATCAAGTAATTGGCACAAGTGTAAAAAGTTCCATTCTCAGAAGAGCCATTTGCATATTTCAGATCACTAGCATCTATGAAATGTATATATCGAACCCAGGAATTGTTTTGTTGTAGATCATGTTAAGCATTTGTGGAAAGAAGGAATATAATGTTGAAGAGTAAACAGTCCTGTGAAGAATTTTGTATGTTTGCTAAGGGTTTGATAGCTTTTCTGGAAAACCATGAATAAATATTAAACAATTTTAAGCAGAGAGTAGCATGGTCATATTTTCATTTTACTAAGATCATTCTTTAAGTGATTATGAACAGATTGGGAGTTAAGAAGGCAAGTTAGAGTAGCAGCCAGCCTGTTTTATAAATGAAGTAAGAAAGCATTCCAGTTCAAAACGGCAAGTACATAAACCTAATCTGTGGGAGCCAAATAAATGCTTCAGTACACGTGTAGCTACTATTTTATAGTCTTTTTATTAGGGAAATTTGCAGTAATTTAAATGAACTTCAGGTTGTGGTTTGCAGCCCATTAATAGGATATTATAATGAAATAAATCAATATAGTCTAGAATAAGAAAGTTTGCTTTTCTCATGTGCTTATGTATATTAAATCTGGATAAATAGCAACCTAGTATACATAGAGATAATTATGTAAAATATATTTCTTACTCTGTAAGCCATGATCAAAAAAATTTTAAAAACCATTAATCCACGAGAGACTTTAAGGGAACTTGAAGTGAGATAGATGCTAGTCTTTTAAGGTGGTATTAACATGGGTCTTAGTAATGAGCCTTGGGGAAGTACAAGAGTAGAAAGAGTGGGAGCAGATGGATTCTTCTGGCATAGACAGTACTTGGTTGTGTAACCCTGAGACAGCAAATTTCAACTTTATATCATCATCCCTTTTTTGCTTAAAAATCTTAGTTCTTGTGTTTCCTCTCTGGTGATTTACCAGGTTATTTAATTAGCTACAAGCATATAAGACTTTGTGAGAATGTTATAGCCAGTTTGAGAACTGGTACTTCAAGTTCTCTTGTTAAATAATTCTTTACTCCCCAGACTTAATTTTGCTTCTTTTTATATAGAGATACATAGGTAAAATGAAACATTCCATGTTTCAAAATCTTACTAAAAGCACAGGTCTGGAAAAGCAGACAAGTGTATTAGTATTGGATTACTCCTTCAGAGAGATTAAAAATAGATTTTGGGTCTTTCTCTGTCCCTGAATAGTATTTAGGCAGCTGAGTGATGGTGTATTTGATTGAAATAATGAATAGAGCATTGGACCTGGGGCAAGAGAATGAAGAGGCAGTGTTGTGTTTATAGGGCATCCAGTTACTCTTTTACCACATGGCATATACCAGGGAGGTATCCTGAAGTCGAGTATTCTAGCCTGGTGGTGGCATTTAAGTGTTTCTGCCAGGCATGACCTTGCCTAAGGACTTGTTTTATCTCATATCTCTTTATCCACCTAATCAATCCTCCCCTCCCCTCCCCCC